ACCAAGCATGCTCACACAAGTATTTCCTTTAATAATGAATCTATCCAAATTCTAATTTTTGGAAATTTCAAATACCTATATTATCGAGAACTATAATTTAAAATACTTAGGTTTATATACCATTTAAGGAGTGGATAATACCTGCCAATGTTCTTCAAATGATAATCACTTTTTTGTTCAATAAATTGGTCATTAGATGAATATATGAAAATATTTATGTATCTAAATTGAGATTCGTACTTTGTGGAGGTTAGGTTCATGACAATGGGTTTGGAAGATGTGGGGGTTATGATTGTTTGATCATTTTAATAGGTAGCTTATATTTATCTGGGTATCAACATTTTAAAATTTTTAAAAACTTTATGAGTAGGTAATGAGTATCATAAATACTAGATCCAATATTACATATTTTTATATTTTTAAGAACTATTATACTTAGAATATACATTTTGATAACTCAGAAACTACTCATTAAAATGTTAACTTAAGTGTTTCAAAATATTTTTTAAAAATCATCTGCTTAACTATTTTTAGTAAAAAGGTTGGTCGTTATTTGAAAAAATAAGTTGCATAGCTACTTTTCATAGGACAATCAGCAAAAGTCTAAATAACTAAAAATATGGTCCACCCGTATATGTTGTCTACGTCTTTCAAACGTACAATATTGCAAAAAGTGTCTTGTGAGGGATAAAACCACTCAGGATATGGTCCAAATAAAGCGAGCAACCAACTTTTTACACTTTAACGAGAAGCACATTTACTGTGCCACATCATATTTATTTTTTCGATATCACAAATACAAAAAAAGTTATTTAAGTTTGAAACAATGAATTTTTAAACAACAGGAAATTTTCTTGTATAAAAATCAGAACTATTTATTTTATCATTTATTATTAAAGGGGAAAAAATATAGGGGGGAATAATGCTTTCCAAATCGACCTGTATAGTTCAAGCGATGATCATAAGACTATAAAGTGATTTTTTAAGCATGCTCATCCTATTTGTATATCTAAATTATACATATTATATTAAAATTCAGATTTTTGGAATTTTTAAATACACTTGAAGACCATTTTTCGAAGCATTGCAATTTTTGTACCAGTTAAGAATGATCTTGTGATAATACGAACTTTAGTTTTTCAAATAGGAACCACTCTTTTACATTTTTAATTAGCAGATATTTTTTTTGAGAATTTAGATGTATCCTAATCAAAGATCAAGATAGTAGTTTTTGAGTTACGTAACTTTGTGTTTTAAGAATAATATGGCTGTGGCAATGGGTTACATAGATAGGGGGCCTAAGAGTAGATTTGAAAAAGTTAGCATTTACTATTACTTAATAAATACGGTACATAATCTAACATTATACATACAGTTTTTTTTTTATAAAAACCATTTTTAAGGATTATTATCATTAGTATAAACATTTTAATAACTTAGAAAGTACTTATTAGGATTTTAATTTAGATACATCAATACTTTCAAAAAAAAAACATCCACCAAATAATTTTTGAGTAAAAATACGGGTTCTAATTTGAAAAATAAAAGTTTGCAAGATACTTTCTCAAGTAGTACAAAAATATCAGAAATTTGAAAATATGGTCTGTAGGTCTACTAAAAATTCCAAAAATCAGAATTTGAATACATGTACTATTTAAGCGGAAAATGGGAGTAAGCATGCTTAAAAAATTACTTGGTACATGTAATATATATTTTTAGGCATGTTTCATATCCAATTATTATAGGTATTAATTTACAAAATTTACCGAGTGGTTTTACTCATTATTATAATTTATAGTTATATAAAAATGCCTACACGATGATTAATATTTTTTATTATTAGAGTAGTATTTTCTAGTTCATACAGTTAAGTAAATTAAGTCTAATTTGTATACTGATTGTTGGAATATCCCAGGTCTATCCGTATCTACATTTTAATGACGTGTGTTTATATTCATTAATCATTAATAATATTTTACAATGTATATAATGTGTTGTGTTGAATTATATTTCGGTTTATAGTAAAATTAATGATGATAATACCTATTCAAACTACCTATACATAGTACCTATTTTATCTTGTTAACGTAATCAAAATCTTTAAAGTTACTTAATCCATTTTTGATAGTTAATTATGTAGTGAGTAAAATTATGATTTATGAGTAGGAAAGTATAACTTTGTTGATTTTAGTAACATATTTTGATTTAATACTATTTAAGTCAAATGAATTAAGCATATTATAAATGTGAAGTACCTACCTATTGATAGTATACTGTATAAATTTGTCCTCTCACAGAAAAATCAAATTTACCTATAGTATATAATACTTAATAATATTATACAGATGTATAATAATCAAATAAAAAAATCTTTTATGTGGATAATGCTCTGCTGTACATTAGGTGTCTTTAGAGAGCCATTGTAAGCTTGTGATGAATTTGAACTCAATGATCATTGCAAACTCGAAATTTTTTTATTACTATATAAATAGTACAAAGAGAGTCACAATATTTCGAAAATTTAACCTAGAAATTGTTAATAAATACTACCATTTACTGAAAATTTGATGTATATACAGTTATTTTTTTGTTAGAGTTATCTTTAAAAACTTAAAAAAGAAAATCGTTTTTTTCAAAAACAGGTTTTGCGTCAAAAACTTTGTTTTTCATGACGCGTTTGTAAACTATTGGAATTTTTACTTTTGACCCCCCAATGTACCAACTAGGTTCACTTTCCTACCAGAAAAGATGCTGTTGAAGAAAATTGAAGCATATTTAGTCTACCAAAACACGATTAACACAGAAAAAACACACATCATCGTGAAATCAACACATTTATCTCTCCGCTCAGAATCTAAAATTATAATGCCTATGTACACAAGTGTAGCGCCATAGTAAAAAATTATAATAGTTAGGTGGCTAAACAAAAAATAATTCATTTACAGAGTAGATTTGAATTAGTAATATTTTTTATCTGTAAGCACTTACACTCTTATTAAACCATTACTACATGATTATTCGCATGTTATACTAGGTTTTAAACGTAGTTTAAATATCAATACATTTCCTAAAAGATCGAAACAACATAGGTACTTATTATAAAAATAACTTGCAGTTAGATATTTACGACATGTTTCTTCTTCTATTTAGGTCAATAAACAACTCGCAGAGAAATCATCCGGAGTTAAATTTGTTATTTTTACAGAGTTCATGGCAGGATAATTTTTTATCCGACCCCAGGGAATCGTTTTCGATGGAGGACACCCGAAGCGCTTGATGATAAATCCGGGGATAGAAGACGAAAACACCAGATACCCAAAGGGCACGTAAAGTCGTAAATAGACCTTTGGGGAGAGAGAAGGGTACAAAAAAGGTCACATGTTATTTGACATTTTCATCCATACAAGTTGAAATATATTTTTATTTTTGAAAAAAAAATATTGTAGGTACATCGCACATACTCAATTTTGTGTATTATTATATAGCATAAAATATACATACATACCACAAACAAGATTAATAATTTTGTCAATAATTTTTATAAGATTTTTTAGTAATAAGATTTATTACTATTTCATAAACATATAACTAACATAATGTTTTAAATAGTTTCAAGTTTCCAGTTGGTACAACATTTTTACATTTCATTACTCAATTCCGAGATATTATAATATACAGATTTTGTTTAGTTTTTTAAACAACATTTTTTTTATGATTTAACTTTTTGAAAAATAAAATAATTTTAAATATCAACAGCTAATAGGTTTTAATAAGCTGAGTAGTGCCATCAGAGCACCAAACATTTGCACTCTTCACTGTGCTTAAGCAAATACTTAGAATAATATTCCTTTAATGTTCCTTTAATAATAAAAAATAGATTTTTGGCAAAATTGAATGCTCTAAATAATTCAATTTCTGTAAAAACATAACAGTTGTACAATAACATAATTCAAGTTATTTTTTTACTTCGATGTGAAACTATAATATTTATTACTCACTATGTCAAATATATTGTAATTTACATAATAATATGAAAACGGAGTTAATGTCTGTATTCTATAAATACGTGTAGTATGCAGTATAGTATAAATTATACTATTGTTATGGTAAATTATTTACAATGTTTCTCTTTTAATAATAATAATTTAAGAACATAGACATATATTCACACTACAAATAGAAAATAGGAGATACTACCAATTCATCCTTCACTTTTTATTAATCTGATTTATCATCATTCATCACTTCAAATGAATAGGTACATGATTTAAATACTATGCCTGTACTAATGTTTACCAAATTCTCATCCCAGTACCGACTGCCATGTATAATTTATATCCATTTAAATATGGCCGTCAATAATTTAGATAAGTACTGTTAAATGAAATACACCCGATATCTGTGTTAAAGTATTAATTATTATACTGCATAATACTATTCTATATATAATATTATAATAATATGTACTATTGGACATTTTACAAAACTATTAAATTGCATTTAAAATAAAAGCCTAGAGTAACGTCTGAAATATTGGTGCCATCCAATTAAAAGTTGAAACCTTCTTAACTATCTAATAATATATCTATAAATAATAATTATACTATATTTTATCAAAATATATTTCAATAATTGTGTATTGTAAGTACCTACCTAAAAGAAATTAAATAAAACTCTTAACATATCAATTTTAAAGAGTATTCAATAATTGTTATAAATAAATAATATTTATGAATATAATTTGTTAGGTACATTTAGTTCATATACCTACAGATGTTATTTTATTTATAAAAGAAAATCTGTAGGTACCAAAAAAAATTATGAACAAGACATTGTATGTATAACAAGTTTCATTCAAAAAATTTACTGCTGAAATTTGAGTAGGTAACTATCTTTGAGTGGGTAACTATCTCCTGTAAGTATTGAGTGTACTACATAATGATGGCTAAATAATAATATCCGTATGATTAAAAAATTAAGATATAATTTTTTACACTCACGTCTTTTGTTCTGTAAAGATGATCTGTTGCGTTGTTGAACGGGATTTTCGGGTTGAAATGAACGGTTGCGGATGTCCTTCGTCCGGTATCAGACGACCGACCTGAAATAAATTAATAAACTAAGTACTAAATGTGTAATATACTATAAGGTCGTCGGATTGATTAGAGGGGCAACCAAGATAGTGAGAAAAGATCCACCCTTGAGCTAAATGTATACATATATGCATCAAATTTTAAAATAAGAACATATTATATTTTCAGTCTAAAGTCCACTATTGTTGTTAATAAATGCAGGTACTTAAACTTATTCATACATAATATTAAAACTTAAAAAGCTATTTTCATAAATTTCAATCAGCTAGAGTTCAGAACTTAATGCACTAGTGAAATATTGTGTGCATAAGCATTTGTTAAAAAACCCCAAAATGTGCGTTCTAGTTTGTATAAAAGTATAAATTTGCTAAAAATATTATGTTCTACTTAGTAGCTTATATTTCAAATAATTGTAATTTTTTTAAACTTTAAATCTATATTATTTATTTGGTCACAGTGGTAGGTACGCATAATTTAATTTAAGTTATAGTCAATTATAATTACGAAATTGCGATCATAAAGTATGGATTTAAATAATTATCTTTTAGAATGAGTTTTAACCTAAAGGATAAAGTTAAAATAAGATTTATTATTTATAACTTATATACTTAAAATAAATCCAGATAAATATATCACTTATTACTTATTAGTATGTAATTAGTTATATTTAAAAAGTGTACTTTGCGTTATTAAATGTCTGTCATTATGTAAATTGTATATATTATATATACTTTTATACAGCAGTGTTACATTATTTAGCTCTGCACTAGTACAAGTATATAATACTGTATAATATGAATATCAGAATACCATAAGATATTCTTAATATTATTATTTTTTTAATCAGCATTATAATATGATGCAATATAATTTGCATTATAAATAGTTAACTATAATGCGTTGTATTTTACAGTTACAAAAACAAATAATGTTATGAATAATTAGTTTTCAAATTCACAGAAATCACTTCGATTTGGTATTAAAACTATAGTAAATAATACTAAAATTACGTTCATTGAATTCAACGTTTTTAAATTAACTTGTATACTTGTATGATAATCGTATAGCCGGTAAAAACACTAACAGTTTGATTATGAAGAAAGGTTATTATTAATAGTACCTACCTATATACCTATTACTTTTTATTATATTTTTTTCTTTGTAAACCCTGGTATTATGGTACCTTAAATTAATATAATTTATGTAATTGTATCAATCATGTTGCTCAGTTGTTGTACCTATACTTGTATAAACATGTCTAAAAAATATTATACTATAAATAAATACTTTTTTTAAATAATTATTTATCTTAAATTAACACTAGACATGGATGCTGGGTAGAATCTTCACTCATTACTTTCAATTTTCAGGCCTATTAAATAAGTGTATGATAAATTGATTCAAAAAAATATATAATCTATTATTATTCAATTTATAGTGTTATATAATTTTACTATGTATATTTAAGCAGACCACCATGAGTCATGACACTACGAGTATGCTCTGAAGAAGGATTAAATTCATGGTTATTTCTGAATCATTGAAAACTCTAGTAACGAGGTAAAAGCATTTGCAGCTATATAGACATTATACAGTAACAATAACGGCTTTTCTATAATGAACGTTAATTTAGTGAACTTAAAATAATTAAGAATCATATATATGTATACGAGTTATTACGTCAGCGAATAGACTAATAATATAAACTCTTTTGAACTCAGCGAAATATATTATTTTGATTCAGAATTACCTAATTAAATTTGAAAGGACTGATAAAATAACTTTTATAAATCCATCTGAGTATCGTTATAACTTAAAAGAATGCCCCAGCCCCATATACAGGTAGACTAATATAGAGATTTTGTTTTCGTTCAAGTCGGCATAAAAGAGTTTTGAAGTTGACATTTTCAACCCTCCTCTCACATCGCTATTAATTATTTCTTAGTAGTTGCACGGAGTATATATTATTATTGCATGTAGTCTAAAAGTTATTTGAAAATTATACTATAAAATGCAAATCTACACAGTTATACAATTATCATTAAGAATTTTATAAAAAATAACGTGCAAATAATTTTAATTTACCATAAAATAACAAAAAATTATAAAAAAAATACAAATTGTATTCTAAGAACGGATTTCTATTTTATTTATTTTTTGTTTTGTTGTGTAATTACTTTAAAAAATTTTAAAATTAAAAATGTAATTGATTAAATGAAATTTGAAAAGTAGTATAAAAAACATCTATTTAAATAGGTACTACTCAATCTTAAAAATAAAATTGTTGTTAATAAAAAAGATTTATACATTTAATTATTGTACAAAATATACTCATTTAATACAAATTAGAATTTTTTTTTTAAACGTATACTTAAATTCTTTAATTATGTATTAATTCAAAAAGTAATTTCAATAAGAAATATTTTTAAGACCAAGTTTCATACATATATACTTATATATTATTTAAACATATTAGTTATATTATGCTATTGGTTCTCAATATTTTTTCATGAGGATGAGATAACTTCACTTAAATCTAAATAACATTTGACAAAATAACCAAAAAATATAAACATATGTAAATTATAAATGTAAATTTTACCATTTTATAAAAAAAAAACAAAAATAAAAATGTGTTTTTTCAAAATAAATGGATACTTACTTATAATAAAAAAAATTGAACAATACAAATAATGTTCATTCTCGCATTATAAAGTTTGGTGGCCTATCCATTCTTATATTATTTATGGTACTACGTGACATGCCTCGAGTTCAAAACCAACGATTCGTCCAATGGTAAACATGAAAAAATATTGTCCGTATTTTATATTTACAAAAGAGGTTCGACTAGATATACTCATTAATTGTTTCAATAATCCAAATGTCTTCTAACTGCTGTAGAAATTTAAAGGAGAATACAGAAATAGTATGGTCCGCATATTATGCTATGAAATACCTAGTGCTTATACACAAATGTAGGTGCCTAATTTAGTTTGATAATGTTGACAAATGACAATCCGGCATCACGAAATCCAGTGGTTAATTGAAACACGTCTTCCTCACGCGACATGATTACGGCAGCTCAACGATTTAATAGTTGGTACTCACCACTCACATAAGCAAATAGGTTATTACAATTAAGTTCGATTTTTAATTAATTATTATTTTCTCTTGTAGTTAAGGTCAGATTAACTCGATAATGTAACCCCATTTTTAGCAAAAAAAAAAAAACAAAGTTTGATTTGAAAAACAAATTTCTTTTTAAAAATGTACAGTATTTATTATTTTAGATTCAGTCATCAAGAACAGAATAGGGGAGGATTCAGGGTATTAGTTTTATAATTATTAATTACCAATGTGTTATTTTTAGTCGCTATTGTTTTCTAATTTACATTTCTTGAATTTTAATGTGTATACTATACCTAGCTTTATGCTTGTATCTACCAATATACTACATTATTAAATTACAACATTTTGTAACAGGAATAGTTATATGTTAACATACAAGTTAAACGTTTTGGTCAAAATATAATATAGTTGGTGTCATTCTGTCATAATATACAATATGGTGCATGCGCAAAAATATCACACATACAAAAATAATATATGATTTTATCAAATATATATTTACAAGTTTACAATGTAATTCAATAATTGTATCAATATCACTAAGATCTACTAGTGTTGATATTGAAAAGAAAAACAAATTAATTTCTTTAACAAAACAGATAACTTATACTTAGTGTAATTAATTTTTATATTATTATTTATAAGTTAGAGCAATTAAAATTGTTCGTCTCCAGAAAACTATTCTGAGCTAAGCACGGTCAACCTTTTTTTTTCGGGTTTTGGTCGTATATACCATTTCAAAAATGTAGGACTTTTTAAAGTACCATATGTGTTAAAATTCCAATTTATAGATAGGGAAATGCGGAAGCTACGTGAAACTTTGAAGTACTTTTACGGAACACAAACACTGTATTCCCAAAACAAAACACATCATTATAATGTTACACCATGCAATACCTCACTCTGTTCATTGTTCAGAATTAAAAAGTTTAGAAGTTTAATTAAATTCAAATGAAAAACATAAATTTGAACATATAAAATCTAAACTAGGTACCTACTTATGATTATTTATAACTTTGTAAAATTTATATATTTGATAAATTTACTGAATTACTACCAATCAAATATTTACTCATTCATTTTTATACTAAAATCTTGTTAAAATCATGACTTAATATTAATAAAGTAAAACATTTCAAAATAACAAAAATAGTGTTAGCTAGATAGATACACGACATGTATCTAAACATTCCAGGGAAAAACGAAAACGAATTTAGAGATAGTGACTCGTATAAAGCTGTGATTGATTAGCGATTAATGATTTTATATTATTATTGTTATTAAAAAAATAAAATAATAAACAGCTATCGAATAAGTTAGGTAGGTACTTACATGGGTTTGGAGTAACCGTATGAAGTTTATAGGCAGTAAACCCGTACATGTTGAAGGATTCAATGTCTATCAACACAGTTCATATTTTATGGAATTGCGATATTTTTTACTTCGACGATCATTGATATCATTTTTTTTTTTTTTAGGTTTGAAACTCTTAAGCTTAAAACTATGATATGAATGTTTTATCTCGTTTTTAAACTACGCATATTGGAAATTCACATCATATAGTGGTACCGAGTACCGACTATATACCGGCGTCGGCGGTGGTAGCGCGGTGTCTGGGGAGCCGGACAAAAGCCGAATGTGTATGGGAAGAAAAATATATTTTCACGAGGCGTTTGTTCCGAACTTGGCCGGCGTCCCGCGTTTGCGTGATTAACACTATCCAGTCGATCGGTCTGGGGGTGGGTTTCTCGGCGGGGGCGACCGCTGTGCAGGCGGGTTTTGGTGTCGGTGGAAGGACACATATACATACATACATATATAGTATATATAAACGTTACTGACGGGTAGGAAACAATTTCAAACAATGTTCATGGGTGTTTATTAAAAACGCAACGTTGTATATGATTAAAAATATAAAATTCCGCATTAAAGCCGAGAGCTGTTTTGTTTACGCGCTTAAAACAAGACGGGGTGTGAAGCCCTCTAATGAAAATCGTTACACACAGGCTACACAACCCACTTAAGTCGTCAATATCCTGAGTATTTTTTACGACGGGACAACAATATACACGCGTGAAAATATTGGATTTAGCTTCCAAAACAAAACAATGACACTCAGGACTTAATCAGGCTTTTTTCAACTGGTGAATAATAATAATTATAAAATTATACACATAACTGACAAAGAAAATTACAAAGCCGCTTGGTATGATTAGGTTCGTCATTTCAGCAACACCTAGAAAAAAAAACTGCTTATAGGTGGTATACTTTATAGTAAATTCCTAATAATTATTTGATGTGCTCTATAAAATATATGTAGTTACTACTTACTTCCAATACCTTTATTCCTATACCTTCCAACTATCTGAGACCAGATTGAATATTAAATTAGAATGTACTAACATAAATGTTCATGGATGGGTATTTTTTAAAATATTATTTCTTTCTATAAAAATAATTTACTGAATATATAAAATACTACAAGTATAATATAATGAATTATATGTATTCTAAAATACCTAGTTTTCAATCTTTCAAAACTTTGTACAACAATAATCAGACTACTAAAATGAATGTTAAAATATTATACACAATACGGTAGTTAGATCCCTATTTTATTACGATATGTGATCTGCATGTGTAGTATTGGTAACGAAATGTGTAGTAAACCTATTATGTTATTATGAATATAAATTTATGCACATAGCAAAATAGGTACAATGTATTTACAATCTATACAATATTTTAAATCTGATCAATGATAATACATATACATTCATCAATAATATAAGTTATAACAATACAAATATGCAATTGAATTGTTTATATAATTATGTATAATAATATATAAAAGTCATCATTCTGCACTAAAGTATTTACGATATATATTATATATTTATAAGTATGTAATTGTATATATATTATGTATTGTCATAAGATATTTTCAGTGTCCCAGTTTGTAGAACTTAAGTATGATAGTGATGATTATACTAATTAGCTAAACCTACTCACCATCACGTTAGACGTACAAATTAAAAATACTATTTAACATTAAATTTAATACTGAAGTTTTGGCAAAAAGTATATGCTGACAGCCGAAAATGTGTTTGGCATACACATTTTGTAGGTTAAGGTTGATCCGTTCAACTATGTCTATAGGTACACACCAACACGTCACACGACTTCTTAAAGTGAAACATCGTCATTTTAGATTCGGATCGGAGCATTGAATGTATATGATTAACATTGATGGGTAGGAAAGTGGTTTTTTTATGGGTCTGGCATCACCTTTAAGAGCAGTGTTCAAAATGCTTTTAATAACTTTAAGGGTGGTGTCTATAGTGAAAAATTGAATCTATAGTTGATCATTTTGTGGGTCAAAAATAAAAATTCTAGTTACAAAATAAATTTTATTTAGTTCAAAAATGAATATCCAATATTCATACATAATAACTATTAATAAGTAATAAAATATATTCTATAGAACCCTATAATTTTTATAAAATATTAACAATATTAAAATGTTCTATAGGTACGATACATTTTTTTAAATATGTCGGCTCTTTTCAAGCCCTTTATATAGGTTTAAAAATTATTTTGTAATTAAAAATGCAATTTGAATAGCTAAAGCTTGACAATTTAATACAATGTCTCTTAATAAATTAGACTCATCCAGCGTTCCAAAAATATCGAAAATACCACATGAGCACAATTTTTTTTAAATTTTGACAAAATTGGATTTTCATAAGAACAAATTATAATCTTTTTTTTTAGCAATTTTTAGGTACTGTATGTTGTAATTAAAAAAAATATTATTTGTAAAAACTTGAAACTCTTTACCGCCGCGTTTATTATTATTTTCTATTCACTATGAAATGTTTAAAATATTGAGACTAATTTTAAGCTATTAATACCTCGATCCTATTTACACTGTTATACAGGACACGTCGAGAGTCGGTATTTAAATATATTGACTTATATGTTAACAAGTAATAGTGATACTATAATAAAATATAATATATTATAATAATTAATACCTATAATACATTACACCGTCTTCGATCAGAATCGTTTTTATACTCAATGAATATGACGTCATCAAAATCTTCTATGCTCCTGCAGGAAACTTCCCGGTTTAAACAAAATGTTTTCATTATCTTGAACGTAATAAGTTTATAAATTTACAAATAAATAGCCATTGACTGAAATTGCTGCACATTTCGATACTCAGGCATATCGCCGGAGCTCCTTAACTGTTTTCGCAATAATTATTTTACTTTTCACTATAGATGTATTATACATTAAGATATAGATCATAGGTAGTTGTTAATTGTATATAAATTATATTTATATATGCTGTGCAGGCAATATGGCAGTATCGTCATGCATTCATACATCGCGTCATATTCACATCGATTTTAACTATTTTAAATAAAAACATTTTAAAATAGTAAAATATTTGCAAGGCGTACCAACCTATATTTATTTACACGCAGACGAAGCGAATAACGATTATTATGGACAATGGCGATTGGCGACTATTTAACGTCTGACAAGTATAAACTGTGGGATGATTGGTAAGCGGGAAAGGGAATATTGTGTTATTTAGACGTGACCCTCGTATTAACAGTCTTCTTGGAATAAATAAAATAAACATCGCCACCATCCGCTGTACTGACCGCAGCGAATAAAAATTTAAACATAGTTCAATAAATCAAATAAAAAAATATGTTTTTCCCGATAATCCTCAGAACGATATTGCACATAATAATATTATTTGACGAGATAGAATAACAGTCTATTATTTTATATACTATTATAGAAGATTAACTATAGGTACATAATATATATTTTTTTTTTTTTTATTAAAAAAAATAATATATTTTAAATCATGATACTATACCAATATTGTATTTGTCCATTTCTGTTTATATAAATATTTCCTTATATTTATACTTAAGTTTCTGTAGTTTGTTCTTAGTTTGTTCTTCTGTTTGTCTCTACTTCTCAATTTCACATATGTTTTAATTTAAACTTCTTTTAATACATCAGTGAATTGAAAAATGTTCGGGGTTGCGGATTTGCGCAACTGTTAATCTATTTCATTCGTACTTATAATGTCGGGATATATGTTATAAAAATCTTATTAGATCGTATTTATCGCCTCTTTCGAAAGTGTTATGTATTTTTTTTTTATTAGAGATTCTCAGACCTTAGTTTAAACTATTATTGGAGAATTGAACCAATTCGGATACAGCCTTTAATATCTATGTCTATGTGGATATGTAGGTATTATGCCTATTAATAATCGACGAACGGCGCACAGTGCTACTACTTTACACGCATTTACGCGGTTAGACGACAGATGTGGTAGTTAAATTCCCTCATGGCATTTTTTTGTTTAAGTCCTGTAAAAACGTGAAAATATTGTTTGAACTAGGTATTACAATTTTTGAACTTCGGTACCTCTCTGGGGAAACATTTCTTCAGCCCCTCGATACAAAAAATTCTACAAGTCTTGGCGTCCTGCGTATAATGCCAAACCAATTCTAGAAATTTCCGAGGAAACAAATTCCAAACAATATAATATGTACTTGGTCAGAAATTCCAAACTGGAGGGAGGGGTCAGAGTGAAATAACGTGTTTAGAAAAGGCTTAAAAACATAATATTGTTATTCACAATTCACATAAAATTACAAATTATAATAGATATATGGCGAGGAGTAGTGTCAATATTACCTACGAATTCAATACAAGTACGAATATACTCTATAGGAGAGAATATTTAAAATGTATACACCAGATAATATAGTATAATTAGTCATAATTAATAATGTTTTAAAGAAACAGCGAGAACAATAATATGTTGTACACACGTGTTCCATAACCCTACAGTACCACAACCTACAGCTAATGGCCTCAGTTGCCGAAGCTTAAAAAAATAATAATAATATGCTGTAGAATGATAGTTGATACTAGGCAGTAGTTTATTTTGATGGCTTGAATAGTTGAGTCTCGTCTATGATTATTTTTTCATACATAATGAGTAATGGCTTTTTTTATTGTATTATAAATCCCTTAAAACAGTGATTTTTTTACATAGGTTAGGTTTTTTTTCATTTATCTACGCATAGAGAACTTATGTATACGCCAATATGGAGACAGGGTGTTCAGTAGTTTGATGCCTAAAGTTTGAAGACTGAAAAAACAAACATCGCATATACCACATCTACTAGGACTAGTCTAGACTCTAGGATAAGCTTTACGACCGGCCTTCCAATCAAATGATAACATTATAAAATTCGTAAAATAATAAATTGAATTATATCACCTTATATAAGCAAAAGCTTTAATGTAAACTGTATATAAATAACAATGCCTAAATAGGCTATATCTGATGTAATTATAAGACCACAAAAAAAAAATATATATACTTTTTAAATTTTACAATATATAGAAAATTATATAATTAACATTTAGTGAAAAATTGAATGTAATTATAGGTACCTAAAGTTATTCGTTTTGGATAACAAAAAAATGAGAAAATCGAATATGTTAAATATTGGTATTGCATAAAAATTACCATTTTTCCTCATTCTCCCCTGATTATTTTACAAGTACCTTCTAGGATTTTCAACTG